AAAAATTCCAAACCCAGCCCCCAAGTATGCTCCTAGGTCACGTGCGGTCCTGTGAAAGTTTTGGCGTGAAAATTGCTAACTCGAGAACCAGAAAAGTTGGGAGGCCCAGGGTCCCGTGGAAGTCGTGGCGGGAAAATTGCTAACTCGAGAACCAGAAAAGTTGGGAGGCTCAGATTTGGAGAATATTCCTCGTCCAAATAAAACTTAAATCTTCAAATCCAGTCTTCATTTACGCGTGATTTTCGTGTACGGGCAATTAAATTTCTATCAGGAAAATTGCTCATTGAACAGTTGGGTTACTTTCAAAAAACACCGCTACACGGAAATAGTTTATTCTTTTTATGCAAAATTTCCATGATTTTCGGCAGTAAGCACACAAGGTAGGTGTGAAGAAACAACCGTTCATGCAATTAACCCAATTCAAGTTTTATGCAAAAACGCATGATCGCTCCGGCTCGCCTGGTGCGTTCCAGCCTGGGTTACGTTCTACATTCACTGAGGGGCAAAAAGCATACGAAGTTGGAATTTTAACAATAAATAGAGCTCAAGTACCGGATTTAATAAAGTTGATAACTAGACAATGATGTGTAATTCTTGAGGTACCTCCACTGAAGCGTGGTTCTTAACAGTGCGTTGCAGCTAGCACCTATCATAGATTCCTTCCTTTCATCTATGTACCAGAAAACCCCCATTTTAACTATACATTAAACACACAGGGAAGCAACCGGTGATAAAACAGGACACGGAGTTAGTCTTACAAACCTCAGCGATATTCTCCAAATGGATTTGGGGAGTTAGCCGAAAGCTGATTCAGCTCTGCGAGGCCCTTCATTAGTGCTGCACAAAGTCTCCCGAACCAGCGCTACACTATTTTCGCACTGCTCGCAAAAAAACCAAAATGAAAGCTAGCGACAAGCTGAATGAAACAGGTGGTTCGGGCCTGGGCTGGTCGATAGCGCACACATCTAGGATAGGCCTCCATAAACGAACAATCTAGGCTCGAGAGAGAAAGCATTCCTCAGTGAAGCTACTCAAGTGCATCGCGTGCATCCCTAGCCATCGTCCGCGGCACACACACTTGCCCAGTCATTATTTTTATATCGGGGCGCCTCAGTGCAAGCACTTTTATGGAGCACGTGCAGCTGGTCTCCGCCTGCACTCAGGAGCACCCGGATGCTAGGGCACTGCCTCTGAAAGAGAAAGCGGGGGCAAGCATGTAGGAAAAGCTGTCCAGAAGGGACAAGTGCACTCCTACTTAGGTCACAGGCAGTCTCGCGTCAAATTTGTAGGTATTCTGAGATTTTCGAAAGGCGCCCCCTTTGGGATTTTCGCCGGACCGCTTGGAATTTGCTTCTTTATAAATTCTTTGAATTCATGCGGAAGCAAAAAAAAACATGTATTGTCTGGGACATGTGCGTCGCTTAGTTTTTCTTGGTCTTCAACTCTCACACTAGTCTCTGGAATCTTGGCAACCTGGTACTCACTCATGCTGCTCTCCAGACTTGAAAGCAACTTCCGTGTTCCACTGCGGTTTCAACGCGGGGAAATTTAAAGTTTTTGCTTCCCAGCCACAACAAGCTAGCTGTGAATCACGCATCAAACATCTGTTTGACAAAGCTGTGAGAAAAGTGCATGTTCATCTCGCTGTTTGTTCTCTTTCTTGAGCCTTGGACCCCCCGATCTCCTTCAGCACGCACTGCCCCGTCATTCATATTTCGAGGGCTGATTTTTGACAGATATTTTGTGTAGGAGCGGTGCTGGTGCCCGGCAGCGAGGCGGCAGTAGCAAAGGCTGGTGCACTTTGGGCTGCCCACTCACCAGCTTATTTCCTACACTAGATATTTAAATTTAGATTTCTTTTCCGTTTCCTGGATGCTGTTATCAAAACTAAAAGTTGATGGTATTTTGCTGAAGAGTGTGCGCATTTTCATGCGTTTTTTGCATCTTTACCTCACTGATGCGGCAGGGAAAACGCTCCTTCGCGAGATCATGTGTTTTGATTACATAGATACACAGAATATACTTGTCAAATTTCAACTTGACGTCTTGTCAGGTGCCTGAAATCATTTTCTTGCCGCAAATTCACGTTTTCTTTCAAGCATCCATACGTGCAACTTAAGCATATGTGAACAATAATTTTAAAACTGGTGGAAGGGGACTAAGGAAAGGACTCTAAAAATTTCAGCTTCCTAGCCTCCCCAGTTGCAGAGTCGAAAATGAGTCACAAAATGCAAACAGACAAACACACACGTATTAGTTTTAATGCGTTTTGCCATAAGTAACAGCAGCATGAAATGCATATTTCACGTACTTCTCTATGTGTTTGTTTGTGTTTGTGTGTCAGAATGCATTTTGTCTCGCACTTTCAACTTGGGAACCGCGAAAGCTAGGAGACTAAAATTTTAGTAGAACGTTCGCTGCCCGTGTGCGACCCAAAAAAAAATAAATTCAGCCTTCCCGTGCGCCTGAGCACGTATGGCTCTGTGAAAATTTTGGCACGAAAAATTGTTATCTTAAGCACCACGAAAGCTACGAAGTTGAAATTTCAGGAAATGTCCGCCGAACACTATAGACCCGGCAAACTTAAATTCAACCTTTCCGTGTGTCTGGGTATCAATACGGCCCCATAAAAATTTCGGCATGAAAAATTGCTATCTCGGTAGCTATAAGCGATAGGATGCTTTTAGGAGAATGTCT